GCAAGCTGTCACTTCAGCGGTTGGTGAGGCGCTAGTGTCCTGAACCAATCAGAACGGACGAGGTTGTTTGTACGTCGGACAATAGCCCTTCATGGTTGATATATTCAACACACAAACAACATTTTACCCATTCATTCAAAGAGAGATATTCAAGCTTCAAAACAGTAGGGACCTGATAGATTGCATTATTGCTTCCTGTACCAGCTGCTACTTTTGACTGCTTGTAATTGTGCATATATTGTAGGAATCGTTTCGCTTGTGATAGAAACGTTTCAATCTTGGGTGAATCTTTGTAAGAATTTAGTTGTGAGTAACTTAGTGTCTTACTTCAAAGTCTATATTAATCAGTTAGGTTAGTATAGTGGGCAGTGTTGTATCCGCTTAGGCTCATTTAAGTAATAGGTGGTATTACTTAGTATAAAGATTAGCAGGTTAATCTCATGTTGTAAAATGTGTTTTACTTTTGTTTGTGAAGTTTAGTAAAAGCAGTTTGAAAATCCTTGTGAGACAGGTTGTGGTTTTACTCCCTTGGGAAAGGAGGTTTCCACATAAAGTTGTGTGTACAATCTTTACTTTTAGCATTTATTTACTTTCTGTTGTTATTGTAATCGTGTTGAGGACCTGGTCCTATCGTAACTAGTGGACGCATACATTCCAACAAGTGGTATCAGAGCTTGACTTTTCGATTTGGGTAACACCAAGAAAAGAAAAGATCCTGAAGGAATGACTGCTCCACCCAATATGGAGGAAGGTCAGTCATCTACCAGACCACCCCGCTTCAATGGATAATACTATGGGTGGTGGAAGAATCGTATGCATGATTACATCAATGGTGAAGACACTGAGTTGTGGGATGTGATTCTCGATGGACTGTACATTCCCACAAAGGAGGTGAAAGATGGAGAGCTCACCACAACAACTATCAAAACTAGAAAGGAGTACATGAAACAGACAAGAAGAAGATAGAGAAAAATTATAAAGCAAAGAAGATTCTAGTATGTGGAATCGGGTCAGATAAGTACAATCGAATCTCTGCCTATGAGACAATGAATGAGATATGGGACTGTCTCCAAATAGCCCATGAGGGAACAACACAAATGAAGGAGTCTAAGGTCGATATGCTTACGACTTAAAATGAGAACTTCTGTATAAATGAAGGTGAAACTATCTTCGAGATGAACTCAAGATTCACCTCCATAACCAACGAACTGAGATGCCTTGGTGAGCCTATTCCCCTAAGCAAATAAGTTCGAAAGATTCTTAAAGTTCTTCCCAAGTCATGGGAAAGCAAAGTGAATGCTATAACCAAAGCAAAAGATTTGAAGACGCTTGCCATGGATGAACTGATTGGAAATCTCCAAACCTATGAGCTAAACAAGCAACAGGGGACAAACATGAAGAAGGAAAAAAAAAGAGAAATCAGTTGCTTTGAAAACATCTCATGACAACGTGACTGAGGAGGAGAACGAAATGACATATATCACTAGAAGGTTTCAGAAGATTATCAAGAAGCATGAAGACTTTCAAAAGAAAGCTCTGACCAATAGAGCAGCAAATGCAAATGATCTTTGTCATTAATGTGGAAAACCTGATCATTTTATGAGGGACTTCCCCAGTCAGAACCAGGAAACTCAGGACTTCAGACCTTGTAGAAGGGACCAGGTCCTAGACCATGCCATGAGGAAAACTCATGCTGATAAACTAGTAAAGAAAGCTTTGGATGTATGTGGAAATACATCTAGCGAGTCCGAGGAAGAGACAAATAGTCCAAAAGATGTCTCGATGATGGCTGTGGAAGATGATGAAGCTACAATTCCATTTTATCACTAATGGCAAAATCTGACGATGAAGAGGATCTGAATGAGGTAACCCTTTTTGATCTCAAGGATGATCTAAATACTTTTCCCATTAATAGATTGAGAAAACTTGCTGCTCTATTAATTGATTCAGTTGATGAACTGACTTCTGAAAATTTGATGATGAGTGAAAAACTAAGTCTGTGTGGGGATAATAACTCAGCTCTCAACTCTCAAATGTCTGAAATGAGTGTTAGGATAGGTATCCTTGAAACTAGTAGTCTGGAACCTAACGAGGAGGCTGGTACCTCTGAGGGTGGGAAGTAAAAACTCAGTAACTTTGAGGTTGAACTAGAATAGAAACTTAAGACCTCTGAGTCTAAGTTAGTTGCCTCCCTTAAAAGGAACTCTCAACTAGTGAAGGATCTATGTAAGATCAAAGAATAGTTGAACCACTCCCTCAAATAGACTGATTCGTCTAAGATACTCTCTAACTTAACAAATCAGAAGTTCAACAACAAAAATGGATTAGGTTGTATACAGATAAAGCCTCCGTACAATCCTTATAGTAAATATGTGTCTGTCTTTGACAACTTTTTGTGTACCCACTGTGGTAAAAATGGTCATCTGAAAGAAATATGTGAGATTTTGAGAGGAGTAAAAGAAAGGCAGGAGAAGTTTCTCAAATTAAGAAAGATTTTTGAAAAAAAGAAAAAGGTACCTGGTCCCAGTTACCACTTTAGCAAGAACACTTTACCTCTATGGACAAGAAGGTTTCTCATTAAGCCTTTTGACAGTTTTTGGGAACTCCATTTGAAGTGGATTCTTAAGTCTAATAAGTGATTCTTTTGCAGAAGAGAGAAAGCAGTCAGTGCTGGTACATGGATAGTGGATGCTCAAGGCACATGTCTGGAGACACTCTAAACTTCCTCTCTTTGTAAGCACACCAAGGTGGTGGTGTGTCATTTGGTGGTGGAAAGAAGGGTTTTATTCTTGGAATTGGCAAGATAGGAAGAACAACTGATTACTCCATAGACAATGTACACTATGTGGATAGTTTGAAATACAATCTCCTGAGTGTATCTCAAATTTGCGACAAGGGAAATGAAGTCAAGTTCATGTCTGATAGGTGTCTGGTTACAAACTGTGCAACTAAATTAGTTGTTATGTCTGTCAAAAGAATAAAAAATATGTATATTGTGGATCTTGACTCTATTGAAGGGGACAGTCTTTCATGCATGATCGCTCAAACTGATGATGCAAATCTATGGCATCAGCGATTGGGTCATGTAAGTACTTCTTTGTTAAACAAACTTGTTGCAGGGGACCTGGTCCGTGGATTGCCAAAGCTGAAATTCTCAAATGATAAAGTCTATGATGCCTGTGCAAAAGGGAAACAAACAAGATCATCCTTCAAAGTAGAAATATGTGAGAACAACTAGACCACTGGAGGTTCATCACATGGACCTGTGTGGACCAATCAGAATTCAAAGCAGAAGAGGTAAGACGTATATTCTTGTAGTTGTTGATGATTTCTCCAGGTTCACTTGGAACATGTTTCTGTGGACTAAGGATGAGACGGTCGAACTTCTGATCATGTTTTCCAAAACTATTCAACTGAAGGTTAACTGCAAGATTGCTAGTATCAGGTTTGACCATGGCACCGAGTTAGAACTCTCAACTTGAAGGCTTTTGTGCTGAAAATGGAATCAATCACAATTTCTCTGCACCAAGAACTCCTCAGCAAAATAGAGTTGTTGAAAGGAAGAACAAAACATTGGTGGATATTGCAAGAACCATGATGATTGACTCGGGGTTTGCAATGAATTTTTGGGCAGAAGCAGTCAACACAACATGCTATGTTACAAATAGGTGTCTTATTAGGTCTGTGATCAAGAAAACACCTTACGACTTGCTAAATGACAGAAAACCTTCAATTGCTCATCTTAACTCATTTGGGTGCAAATTCGTTGTACTGAATAATGGAAAGGATGACCTTGGCAAGTTTGATGCCAGGAGTTATGAAGGGGTATTTGTCGGGTACTCTTCTACCAGCAAGGCCTGCAGGGTTTTTAACAAAAGAACTTTATGTGTTGAAGAGAGCATACATGTGATATTTGATGAATCTGAGAAAAATGATGAGCACAAAGAAGACCATGAGTTGGAGGAGTTGATCAAGGGAACACATGATAAGGCAATCCAAAATCTTGGAAACAAACAGGTTGCAATAGAAAATGGTGCAAAACACACAGGAGAACCTGGTCCCTCTGGCTCAGCCCATGAGGTTTTATCTCAAAATACAGAAGATGATGAAGGAGAATCTGATGCTGATGTGGAAGAAGAGATTACCAGAAAGTCTGGATGGAAACATCAATCTTCACATCCACTGGACAATCTCATCTCTCACCTTGACTCCAGAATACAAACTAGATCCAGAACAAGAAATTTAGTTACATATTCAGCCTTCATATCATCCATTGAGCCTAAGAACATCAAAGAGGCTTTACATGATGCAGATTGGGTAACATCAATGCAAGAAGAACTTCATCAGTTTGAGAGGAGCAAAGTTTGGCACCTGGTCCCAGGCCTCTCAACAGAACCATTATTGGGACAAGATGAGTCTTTAAAAACAAACATGATGAGCATGAGACTATCACCAGAAATAAGTCAAGGCTCGTGGTACAGGGGTACAACCAAGAGGAGGGGATGGACTACGATGAGACTTTTGCTCCTATAGCCAGAATGAAAGCTATTAGAATCTTGATAGCCTTTGCTGCCCACATGGAATTTAAGCTATTTCAAATGGATGTCAAGAGTGCATTCTTGAACGGGAATCTGAAAGAAGAGGTGTATGTCAAACAACCTCCAGGTTTTGATGATACAGAACTGCCAAATCATGTGTTTTTTGTATGGTTTAAAGTAAGCTCCAGAGCTTGGTATTGTTTGTCGAAGTTTCTCCTTGCAAATGGCTTCAAAAAAGGTAAAATTGATAATACCTTGTTCCTAAAATCCAAAGGTAAGAAGTTGTTGATTGTGCAGGTATATGTAGATGCCATCATCTTTGGAGCTACTTCAGATTCACTGTGCAAAGAATTTGCTGATTTGATGAGTAGTGAATTTGAAATGAGCATAATGGGGGAGTTTACTTTCTTCCTAGGATTGTGAATCAAGCAGTCTCCTCAGGGCACTTTTATATGTCAAGAGATGTATATGAAAGAATTTCTCAAAAAGTTCAAACTACTGAAGGCAAAAGTTCTTGACATACCTATGAGCACAAGTGTGAAATTTGATCTGGATGAAGATGGTGTTGAGGTTAATCAAACCATGTACAGGGGAATTATTGGGTCACTTCTATACATCACTGCAAGCAAGCCTGATATAGTCTTCAGTGTAGGGATGTGCGCAAGGTTTCAAGCAGTGCCAAATGAGTCACATTTGAAGGCAGCCAAGCGAATTCTGAGATACCTGAAGGGAACTCAGGACCTGGTCCTCATCTACCCAACGGGTGATTCACTTAATCTAATTGTTTATGTTGATGCTGATTATGCAGGTTTTCTTGCTGATCGAAAGAGTACATCAGGCATGACACACTTGCTCGGATCATCACTGATTTCTTGGGGGACTAAGAAGCAAAATTCAGTGGCACTGTCTTCAACAGAGGCAGAATATGTGGCTGATGCATCATGCTGTGCTCAACTCATATGGATCAAGCAACAACTAGAATATTTTGGTGTTCTCATAGACATTATCCCTCTAATATGTGACAACACCAGGGCAATGAACATGGCCAAGAATCCCGTTCAGCATAAGAGGACAAATCACATAGATGTGAGGCATCACTTCCTAAGGGACAATATTGAGAAGCAAAATGTGGTGATGAGTTTCTGCAAGACAGAAGACCAGTTGGCTGATATCTTTACAAAATCCCTTGAGTAAAGAATGTTTTATCAAAACTAGGTTGAGGTTGGGGATGCACAACATCACTTGATTCCACGACAAGTTTGCACAAAATCTTCCATTTGATTATGTTAAAGAGTGCAGGTATCTATACTTGTTGTAATGCATATCGTTTGAGAATTCACTTCTGGTACCTTAATGCAGGTATACACTCATGTCATGATAGCTGAAGAGAAGATCTAATCATACAGACATGGCTACATATTAAATGGGACCTGGTCCCCATGAGGTTAGTATCACTTATGCTACACTGTGTGTCTGTCAACTGTCACTGCCACGTGTCTCTCACCCATTCATCGCGTCAATTTCAAACGTCTTTTCACTTTAAAACCAAGAGTCACTACGTTTCAAGGACCTGATACCTCTTGTACTTAAATATAAACCTAACCTCTGTGAATCCAAATCCTAATTTCTTCATAATCCCTTTGTGATTCACTACTCTGCGCCTAAATTGCTTTTGCTTCTCCTCATCAAAATGACCAACTCTTCTACATCTTCAAAGATTCCTATTCCTCAAGAGGTTGAAAACCCTAGTTCTTTCAACTTCTCTACTCCTCTCCCATAACAGTCTCATTCGACACCAGTCTGTAAAGTTGGTGAAATAGGTGAATCCATCACTCCACTGACTGAAGTAGTGGTTTCCCCTGCATGCACTACCTTCTGGGGAGATTTTGCCCTGTTCTCCTACTTTGGTGTTGTCATGTGACGAATCTCAAAACTCAGAAGCCCAATCAGTTATAAAACCAAGTGTTGACCCTCCCACTAAAGAAGTTGAAGTATTGTCTAGATGAGTGTCTTCTACTATGTCTGAGAGGTTATTTGATGGTGATCTGCATGAGGGAAAGGGTCTTGAGTCGAATATTCTAGCAGCAGGGGAATAATTAGTGGTTGTACAAAGTTTGGCCGCTCTTAGAGGGATGTTCAACCAACGTTGTTGGAACAAGAGTTGAGGTCTCCGGAGCAGGTCCCTCACAATGTTCAACCTGTGTTTGACAAAACCCCTAGGTCATTTCACATTGAGAGTGACAAAGAAGAGGAAGAAGAAGTTCCTTTGAAATGGAGCATTAAAAGGGTGTGAGGAGCCAGCACTCTAACAATTGGTGTCCCAGATTTGGAAATTGTTAAGAGTGCTCCTGAGACTGTTCTTACTGATTAGCCCGCTGAGTTTGCAAAGGAAAGAAAAAGAAAAGGGAAGGGAAAGATGGTTGAATCCCACTCAAAAGGGGACAAGAAGATGTATGGAACTAGGAGTGAAATGCAGAAAGTTATGAAGAGTGTCATAGCAGCGAATGTAAATCAAATGGAGAGGGTTAGGAAAAGAAGACGAGAAAGTCATTTGCCTGAAAAGCCTACCTTTACTCCTTTGCATGTTGGGTCTAGTGACACTGAGTCTGATGATGTTGTTGCATATGTGGCAAAAAGAAGGAAAGAAGGAGAGGACGAGAGGGTAAAATCAAAGGGAATTCAGAAGACTGCAAATAAATCGCCTGTGAAGAGGGAGAGAGTGAGAAAAAGGGTCTGCTAATCAAGTTCAGTCAAGGGACCAGGTCCTTCTGTTCAAAATCCAGTTGCAGACAAGGAGATAACAAAGGAAGAGCGCATTGTTAAAATGGAGAACCAGATAGTGTTGAACGGAAGAGTATTCGATCCTGACATCCTTACTGCATTTGGTATGTTGAATCTCTTTAATGTTGTTTCTCTACAAGGTTGGGGTCATCTGTTCGAACACCCAACACCATATCTTCATGAACCTGAGGTGCGTGAATTTTACTACAACATGGAGCTTCTAGATGATGGAGGAATCAAGACTACTGTCAACAATATTAAAATCTTTCTAGATGAGGAATCCTTGGGGATCATTCTGGGTGTGCCTATGAAAGGAATACGATCAATTGAGGAATGCAAACCATCCAGCGAGTTCCCAAAACTGGCTACAAAGCGTGGAGACATCAAGCGAGTAGGGTTGCCAAATAAGTTTCTCAAAGGGGAATATCAGTTACTCTTTGAGTTCATCAACAAGGTGCTGGTACCACAGACAAAGAAAAAAAATGTAGCATCTGCTGTTGATATGTTTCTCATGGAAAAGTTGGATGAACTTGAAGAAATTAATCTCCCTGCTATAATGCTTGAACTTATGCACAGGGTTAGGACTTGGAAACGGGCTAAACATGGCATCCCTTATGGCTACCTGTTAAATTATGTGTTCAAACATTTAGAAGTGCCTTTGGGAAAAGGAGTACCTGGTACCACCAAGCAAATGTTTATTGATGTCACCCTATTGGAATGTGAGTGTGTTGAAGGGAAGGCCAGAGGCAGGTCTCAGGTGGCAGATCTTATAGAACAACAAGCCTCTCTTAAACGTGAGTTGACTGATCTCACTGCGATCTTAAATGATAAGGAGGTTGAAATTGTGCAGCTAAAATCTATGTTGCAGAAGGCTGTCTCAAAGGGACCTGGTACCAGTGGTGTGGATGATCAAATGGTGCAACAGTTGATGGATAAGAATGAACTGCTGTTGAAGACAAATGCCTCACTTAGTGAGGAAGTCAAGGCTCTCAACAAGCAAATTATCCAGGCTCATGAGGCTGCAAATGAGCGGATGTCCTTGCTAATGCACACCCTTAATCCCCTTCCCCCTCCGTCCTAAACAAGTCATGTTTTCCTAGTCTTTACATTCCTATGTCAAAACTCTAGTGTCTATGTGTACTCTTTTGACCGACCTCTGTAGTCAACTTTTGTGATCTAATGCTAATCGTTCCTGTGCCCTGCTTAGTATGGTTTAATATTCTTTTTCTGCTTACATGTTCATGCTCTGTGTGGCCCATGGCCTTGAATTCTTACATGCTTTGCATATAACTCGCGTATGTTTACTGTTACTCTTTTTCAATGATTTCAAAATGGGGAATTTTTGGGTAAACTGATGGGTAAACTGTTGTGCAATCAGAAGGGAACTGAACTAAGGGGAAAGAACACTGACATGGGGAACTAATGTAATTTTGAATGAATACTTAACACTCATGTGAGGTTGCTTGTAGGTTGTTTGTCATCATCAAAAAGGGTGAAAATAATATGTATTAATGCTTCTAGATGTTTTGATAATCTCATCACAAGTGCAGGGACCCGGTCCTCTGCAGAGTATGTTTGTCCAAGATTATATGTTGTACATCTGGCAAGCTGTCACTTCAGCGGTTGGTGAGGCGCCAGTGTCCTGAACCAATCAGAACGGACGAGGTTGTTTGTACATCGGTCAATAGCCCTTCATGGTTGATATATTCAACACACAAACAACATTTTACTCATTCATTCAAAGAGAGATATTCAAGCTTCAAAACAGTAGGGACTTGATAGATTCCATTATTGCTTCCTGTACCAGCTGTTACTTTTGACTGCTTGTAATTGTGTGTATATTATAGGAATCGTTTCGCTTGTGATAGAAATGTTTCAATCTTGGGTGAATCTTTGTAAGTACTTAGTTGTGAGTAACTTAGTGTCTTACTTCAAAGTCTATATTAATCAGGTTGGTTAGTATAGTGGGCAGTGTTGTATCCACTTAGGCTCATTTAAGTAATAGGTTGTATTACTTAGTGTGGAGATTAGCAGGTTAATCTCATGTTGTAAACTGTGTTTTACTTTTGCTTGTGAAGTTTAGTAAAAACAGTTTGAAAATCCTTGTGAGACAGGTCGTAGTTTTACTCTCTTGAGCAATGAGGTTTCCACGTAAAGTTGTGTGTACAATCTTTACTTTCAGCATTTATTTACTTTCTGTTATTGTAATCGTGTTAAAGACCTGGTTCTATCGTAACTTGTGAACGCATACATTCCAACAACCTCTAATGCCTCAAAAAACAGTTTAGCAAAGTGGTCTAAGTGGTACGACTCCTACCAAAAATTCGGTTTTAAAAGAGTAAGAATGTGAAAATAGACTTTCCCAAAAAACAATAATGAAAATCCAATGCATGAATCAAAACCGTACCACAAACAAGTGAAATCAGGTGTCAAATGCAATACATGCCATCACCAACATTCAAACAATACCAGTCAAGTAGTTAGATAAACACTACCAATACTACCACACTCTCAGAGCACATGAAACTAACTTGAAATCCAGATGGTCCTCGACCAAGGCCTCGGGCCAACAATATACCAACATCCTCAACAATAACAACATAAAGGCTCACCAACACATATAAAACGAAGGAAATAAGAAGTTTCAACAAATCAACGTGGAAATACTTCAAGGATCGATGCCTTACCCCGAACGTACTATCTAACGACAACCTAGCCTAGCTAAAGACAACCTACAACTACGAAAGCAACTAAGGCTTGAGCACTAACGAAAGGATACCCATAACAAGCACTATAGGTAGAACCAAACAACTAAACTGATCGCTAGAACACATTCTAAAGCATCTTAGTAACAAACTAAACTAAGGCCGGAGTATCAATTCTAAGGAGGATAACTATGCCAACTACACAAACACCAAGTCGCTACTAGCTTAAGCTAAAGATCCCGCTACCCATGGCCAACTGAAAGTTCCTACAAAATTCAAGCAAATGGAACAGAAGGGAAGAAGTCTTAAGCTCAACAAATACAATCCCATATTACATGTGAGTCATAATAAACATTATCTAATAGAGAACAATCAAGAAAAAGTAGACCATAACCTACATCCTCGAAGCTGATGACGCGCATTTTCAATACGTTGAGCTGGAGCTTTCCTTTTCCGAAACACCTCCGATCACCGCCACACTATCATAATATTGGTCAAGACATCAAAACATGCGTTTAGGCACTAAAATCACAATAATTAGAGACATACCCAAAATTGAGTAAAATATGAGAATATGGGACCCATACCGAAAATCTTAAAATTGACTCTGTCAACAGGTCCTAATTAACTTGCAGAGTTTGTGTCTCAAAATGGGACACAATTAAATGGAGCTTGGCCAGCCCTTCGGTACAAAAAAATACTTTAAATACGAGCCCCATGCACTGCCCCAATGACCCCACAATGATGCCCTATTGAAATCCGACACAACGCAATTGAAAACTTCTAAATAGGAGCTCCCTAGTTTGAGAATTTGAATTTAGAAATATGGAGCAGATGTTTATTTTCGAGTTGATCTTTAATTAAATGACCAGTCAACAGACCTTCGCGAAGGCGAGACCTAGTTAGCGAATGTGAAGCGTTGGGCCCTAGAGCTCCGGCGAATGCATCCCATCCCGCGAAAGCGGAGGGTCAACCTATTAGACCCTCTCAAACGCGACCCACGATCGCGATGACCAAACACCCTAGTCATTGTGAACGCCGAGGAGAACATCACTAGTCACCGTAACCTGAGGCGCGCAAACACGAAGAAGAATAGGTGTTGCACTAGCTGGTGCAACAAGGCTCAAAACACTAATGGGGTGCTCGAGATTCGTTCGAAATCCTGTACACGCAAACGAAATATCCTACACGAACAAATTCGACATTCCAGACTTAACTAAGATGTCGAAAACTTCTAATCGAGATCGTCGCGATAAAAAGTTGATCCCACATCCAAACTTCGTTTCAAGTCAAATTCCACAAAGGAGCTCGAAATGAGCCTGGAAGCCTCAGAATCCGCACCGAAGGTCCTTCAAGACCAACCTCGATGTTTAGGAGCCAACAGAACCATCATGAATGCATTCTAAGGCCGTCAACCTTAAGTTTTGACCGAAGTCAACCGTTCAAGTTTCAAAAGCTCCAAAACACAGAAACTTGCACTAAACCCAAACGAACGACCGGACGACCGAAATGTTAGTCCAAGTAAGTCATAAATGGCTTGGAGTTGCTACATGAAAGCTCTAAACGCCAAAAAGTTAAAAAAAAATGTAGTAGAAAATGACCTAAATGATCATTACACACGATTCCTATTGCATCAGGAGAAGTTGGTTAAGAAACTTATCGACAATTGAAATTAATTTTAAAATGTTTATAGTAATGTATGTAGTATTTAAAAATATAAGTGAATTTTTTTTTTTTATCTATAACTTTAATAAAAAAAATATTTAAAATATCAATAAAAGACCTTCAGGCAAGTGAATGATTGAGTATGAAGTCTCAACATAATTTTACATGCTTAATACTTTGAAATTTCAAGTTAAGGAAAAATTAGATAAATATTCATTAGAACTCAATAATCACTTATTACACAATATGGCCCATTCTGTTGTAAATCATTTTGGTGGTTAAATGGATGACCATAACTCCTTGGTTAATTTCCCTCCTTTATGAGTAGTAATGTTGTTGATAATGTGGTCAAATGGATGACCATAACTCCTAGATTAATTTCATCCTTTATTGGTAGTAATGTTGTTGATAATATGGTTAATTGGATGACCATAACTCCTAGGTTTATTTCCTCCTTAATGGGTAGTAATTCTCAAGGTTTAATGTAATGTTTATGACACCTTTTGGTATTCCTCAATGTAATGTTATAAACAGTGGTGTTGAGAATAATGTTGAATACACTTGAAAGAAAGAATGTTAGTTTATATTGTTCCTCTTGCCTTATAGTCTTCTTCTCTTCCTCTTTATATTGTTCTTTTGTCCTTAAGTTTTACAACACGTTATCAGCACGAAACTCTAATATCATTTCGATTTTTCCAAGTTAAGCTTCTGGTATGTATTCATATACTTAATTCTCATTATTAATCACTCTAATATAATATACTACATATTATGAAATGATTAGGTGTTAAACAGTGTGTGTATATTTTTGGTAGTTAAACAATGGAAATATATAAGTCCAAAAAGTTTATGTTATTTTAAATTAGTTAAATTTTAATTTTGTCTAGCAATTTTTCTAGAAATTATTTAAGTTATATGTTAGGCAGAATGTTCATTTAAATTGCTCGGAAGTTTGATACTAACACATTAAGTTACTAATTGATGTTACTTTATACAATGACATGTGTCATGTTATTATCATTGAAAAAAAAAGTTTTGTTAATTACTTGTGTACTCACTATTTATTTTAGTCTAATTTAATTATTTTCTATGATAGTTTTATCATGTCGAACTTATCAAAGCTTGAGTTCGTGGCACTTGACATTTCTGGAAATAATTACTTGTCGTGGGTACTCGACGCTGAAATTCACCTTGACGCTAAAGGTCTTGGTGCCACTATTACCAACGGTAATACAACGTCGAGTCAGGACAAAGCAAAGGCAATGATTTTCCTTCGTCATCATCTGGATGAAGGATTGAAGGTTGAATACCTTACGGTGAAAGATCCACTTGAATTGTGGACTGGTTTGAAGGAAATGTATGACCACCTTAAGGCAACAGTATTGCCAAGGGCTCGTTATGAATGGATTCACTTGCGGTTACAAGATTTTAAAACTATATGTGAATATAATTCTGCTGTATACAAAATTACTTCCCAATTAAAATTATGTGGGGAAGATATAAAAGATGAGGACATGTTGGAAAAGACTCTCACAACTTTTCATACCTCAAATTTGGTATTACAACAGCAATACCGTGAAAGGGGATTCAAAAAGTATTCTGAGTTGATCTCATGCCTTCTTGTGGCTGAGCAACATTGTCACGACCCAAGCCTAGGGCCTAGATGTGACATGGCGAATGAGGAACCCGAAGGAACCCCAAACAAGCCTCTCAAACTTGTCATCACACTTCATCGGTCGCGGAAGTACATTCAACATTAATTAACGGGAAATAGGGACTAAGGGCAAACCATTTCAAAATGACATCATAGAACAAGAGTCAAGCTCATTTACAAAATACTCGTCCAACGTACACCTCTACATACATAGATAGGACGGGGCCATGACATTCTACCGGCTCCCCTCATAGTCAAAATACAATTGCAAGCTAAAGTCTCAAAACATAGGAGTAGAAAACATAACATAGCCCTCGAATCATTGAGGACTCACCAACAACTCGGATAAGCACCGTACTAGCCACGTGAATGAAGAGAAGGATCAAGAGTAACTCCGGTCCCTACATGGTGACATCATGTAGGCAAAATATGCGTTAGTACTTGGAATGTACTAAGTATGCGGGGTGCAACACAACAATAGACAAGGACACAATCGAAATACAAGAAATAGTTTCATAGGCATTATGAATAACAATATGAGGATACATGATCAAAGTGAAGTCAAAACATGTTTAAGTAACTCTATACTAATAGTAGATATCATATGTGTATACATGATCCAAACAATTTATAACCCCAACTTAGGATGGGGGATGCCGTTCACACCCGGACACCCTGGTGGCAAGGTATAAACCCCTCACATGGTTGATGTTGGTCACACCCCAAGCATCCTAGGTGGTGAGATATAAACCTCTCACATGGTTGATGTTGGTCACACCCCAAGCATCCTAGGTGGTGAGATATAAACCTCTCACATGGTTGATGTTGGTCACACCCCAAGCATCCTAGGTGGTGAGATATAAACCTCCCACATGGTTGATGTTGGTCACACCCCAAGCATCCTAGGTGGTGAGATATAAACCTCTCACATGGTTGTCCGGTTCTTTTCCCCCGGACCGGGCATGGTCATGCAACACTTTATATAGGAAATTCCCATTAGGCTCTAATGCAATCTCACGTATGGAATGAACATATACACAAGCTTAGTTTGTCATCAACACATCTTTGGAGTTCCATACATCTCATAACTCAAGCTTTAAAGCATCAATTTATCAATTCTCCATAGTTGGACATTTTGTCAAACACCTTGAAGGCATGTAATGGAATCAAAGAGCATGGGAAATAGGGTAGTAATTATGCAGCCAAACCAATGAACAACCTACAACAACACCTTTTTAACACCCACAATACCACATGAAAATCTCCACATCCATTCCAAATTTAGGTTCAAGTTCTAGGGTCACAACATGCTCAAAACAATCACTTTTCATGTTTAAAATTCAATGTGTAGGAAATTATTACAAAGAACAAGACTAATATATGAATATTAACTTAAACCATGAATTAGTGAGTAGAATAGAGTCTATGCACTATGGGTGGAAGGACCCATGAGTTCAACACCACATACCTTGAGTTCTTATGAAGGTCTTGAGAGTGTCTTCAATGGAAGCTTGCAACTTGGAACAAGAGTCTCTTCAATCTTGAGGAAGGTTTTGGATTAGGGTTCTTGAGAGAACTTGAGAGAAAATGTGTCTAAGTATGGGAGAGGTGTTTTGGAAATGTTTTAGAGATGAAATTTGAACTAATGCTATATAGGAAATAACATATGCCCTTTGGAAGAAAAATTCGTCCAACACTTAGAAAAAAAAAGGGGGCGGGTGAACAGTAAAAAAGGCTACTGGAAATTGCATTCCCTGCCGGACAGACTTTACGAAAATGGGCATAACTTCTTCGTCCGAACTCCGAATGAAGTGAAACGAAGTGCGTTAGGTAGATAACTCAAAGGGCTTTCCATGGATATATTATTGGCCACCCAAATAATTTGTGTGCTAGGAGATATGACCCTCCAAAGTAGACCCTCGAAAAGGCTTCACTTGGAAATTTCGGATTTTGATACGGTTGCTCTAAAATTTGGGTTAGACCCATTCCCCACTCAATTTGACCCCCCTAAACAAGAATATGAAGTCGGATTTCCGAAATCATGCACGGATTTTGAGATATATGAAAATTACAATTATAGGTGTTTCCGAAGCACATTTTCGGGCATTTTTGGGGTCGTTTCAATATCTCCCCCTTGGGAACATTTGTCCCCGAATGTTAAAGAAACATACATGAGAGACACAAACATGGCAATTTCAGCCCACATAAGGATGCAACAATGCACTTACACCTTATTTCAAAACCTCAACATAATTGTAAAACCACAATGAACCAATTGTCAACTTAAACATGAATGTATGCAATGACATTATCATGTTTAGTGATGTTCAAGGAGAAACTACCTTCTCCTAGTCATAACACACCAACATCATTAAGCACATATGCAAGTTTCTATGTTCAATAGCACTCTTTCAAGGAGGAACTTCTCAACTCCTTACTAAGACATGCTCATACCTTATTTTCATGAAGTACAATAGATCACTTATAACCAATGCACTACAACATGAGGGAAACAACTCATACAACTCATCTTTCTTCAAAAACACAAGTTTTTATGGAAATGCGCAAACCTCATTAATTCACATAAACATGGGAGGAACTACCTCCTCTACTCTTTAGGAAAGTTTCCACCACATAAGGAGCTAACATTCCATTTCATAAGAACACATTCAAGCATGTTCATTTAATTCACATCATCAAGTCAAGTATGCCATATTACACACAATGCACAACTTAGGAGAAAAAAATCTCCATTTAAAACACACATCATACAACATGAGAGAATAGGACTACTTCTACGAACTCAATATGCATGCAACTTAGACATATTCTGTTTCATTGGAGGAATTTCCTCCTCCAACTCAAATCATGCTTATCATATGATCTTCGGCCAATTATGCAATTACTTCTTAAAAGCACATTTAAACCATTCACCTCATGAATCACATAGGTTACTTACTCTAATTGCCTATCAACATGAGGGGCATGAAACATGAAAACTCATTTTTATCTCAAAACATGAATTCTCAAAAACATACCTTTCATAAGGAAATCATCAGAATATAAAAATCACACATGACTTCTAAAACATAACATAGGCCCATCTAGGAACTCTTGGTCTCAAGCTAGAATAGGAATGGAAGAAAGAGATGAGGATGTCGGGATTTCAACAAATCATGCTTTTTAAGCACACCATCCCCTCCTTAGGAGGAAGCCCTCACTACAACTCTCAAGAAAACTTTTTCCAAGCACTCCTAAAGACATAACCAAACTCACATTTTGCCATTTTTGCAAAAGTCTATGGTCCTCAACATCTAGCCATACCACCTTTATATGACACAATCAAACACCAAATCCATAATAGGAAGAAATTGTACCCAAATGTCATCCTACTCAACAAGGTGATAACTAGTACACACTCAAGGGCCCCATATTCTTCTAACCATCCGAGCCCTATCATCAATAAAAACACACCAAGTATGCAACCCATCCATACTAAGAGTCACATCAAGGCTTAACATGCCAAGTTTCACTAAGTCAACAAGAGTATTCCTAGGGGAACAAGGTAAGAGATATTCTTCACAAACCCCTTTTTTTTCTAACTTTAAACCATTAACCGGGGTAAAATCCGAAAAAAGGTTCTATTAACTCATCCGGAGAACTCTAAGCCTCATAGCCTCATAAGGCATCATACAAGATAAGGTAGTACCGGAAATCAACATAACACTTACTCTCATATGAAATTACCACATACCGGTACCTTCATCCCAAAAATTCTTCCAAGTCAACCCTAGTAGCATCCTTTTCTAAGGCCGTCACTAGGATATCACTCAAGATCTCATATGAATCTACCAATCCGGGTCTAGATTGCTCCAATTCACTAAACCACATAAGGTGAGAATTCAAGCAAACCTATCTCATAAACATCAAGGACACTCAATAACCTTACCATCTAAGCATATTATCCCGCATTGGGGTAAGCCTAAACTATCTCATTACACAACATGATTCTCAAACCAATGAGGATCTCACTCCTACCCTCTTTTAAAAGAGCTTAATCACTCAACATCTCTAGGTACCACTTAAGAATCACTATTCGTCAAAATCCAACACATCATAAAACTCATAAGGACTAAGTTGAGTTATACTAATCACTCACATATGGCCATAACTAAACCCATGAATATTAAGGACGACACAAAAAAAAAATCGCGATATTCTCTTTATCAAGTCACGAAAGACAAGTATTACTAAGATTACTCCTACAAGGTTCATCACCTTAGATAACTCCTTTATAAACTCTAGAGGATCTTCCTCTATCTTTGGCCCATGGAATTTCCGCAATTCAATAAAACATAAAACACATACTGGAACCCTTAAGATCCACTACCACTCACTCTTTGAGACTTACGGGTAGACATCCTTTCTTGGTTAAACCTTAGAGGAACTTAGAGGAGTTTTGACCGAGAAACCTTTCTCTTTTTCACTAAAGTTGGATTAAGACAACTCTAGACCATGTCAACCCTTATCACCACTTTTGGTGGGGTCTACCAACCAACTATGCCTAGGTATTATCTAAGCACCCTACTTAAGTGACCATACTTAAGATCAATCTTAAAATACAACAACTAACCCTTTGAAGTTGGTCAACACTTATACTTCTTATTCTTCACCTTAACTAGATGGTACATGCAACCCTCAAAGTCAACTTCAAAACACAACATAATCCCGACCTAGGGCATATAATTTCTTTTCCCATCTCCACTCTCAGATAGGCTCCTTTGGGAATCAACAATTTGACCATACGGGTTCTACCATCAACTAAACATAACCTCACAATTACCTTGCTAGGTAGGCACACTATCTCCCCCTTTGGAGTAAGCCTACACAAGTTCTTCTAACCAACACAAAGACAATTATGAAGCATTAATCACACAAAATACAACTTCATAATCTATTCCATCAAAGCTCACAAGTCACATAGCCATAATTGGCATTACAACCACTCGCTCCTTCTAGCAAGAACCCTTCAAGTGGTCCAACTTTAAACACCATAAGACAAGGAATAAGAGAGAGAGCTTATAGATCTATGGCACGACTTAGAGAATGAAGAAGTGAAACATTTCCTAAAACGTCTCATAGCCTCCTACTCATAGTTGTGGTGCACAACACAACCATGAATCGGACTCTAATCAACGCGGTGTGTTGGACTCCGAGGATCTATCAACCTAGTGCTCTGATACCAAGCTTGTCACGACCCAAGCCTAGGGCCTAGACGTGACATGGCGAATGAGGAACCCGAAGGAACCCCAAACAAGCCTCTCAAACTTGTCATCACACTTCATCGGTCGCGGAAGTACATTCAACATTAATTAACGGGAAATAGGGACTAAGGGCAAACCATTTCAAAATGACATCATAGAACAAGAGTCAAGCTCATTTACAAAATACTCGTCCAACGCACACCTCTACATACATAGATAGGACGGGGCCATGACATTCTACCGGCTCCCCTCATAGTCAAAATACAATTGCAAGCTAAAGTCTCAAAACATAGGAGTAGAAAACATAACATAGCCCTCGAATCATTGAGGACTCACCAACAACTCGGATAAGCACCGTACTAGCCACGTGAATGAAGAGAAGGATCAAGAGTAACTCCGGTCCCTACATGGTGACATCATGTAGGCAAAATATGCGTTAGTACTTGGAATGTACTAAGTATGCGGGGTGCAACACAACAATAGACAAGGACACAATCGAAATACAAGAAATAGTTTCATAGGCATTATGAATAACAATATGAGGATACATGATCAAAGTGAAGTCAAAACATGTTTAAGTAACTCTATACTAATAGTAGATATCATATGTGTATACATGATCCAAACAATTTATAACCCCAACTTAGGATGGGGGATGCCGTTCACACCCGGACACCCTGGTGGCAAGGTATAAACCCCTCACATGGTTGATGTTGGTCACACCCCAAGCATCCTAGGTGGTGATATATAAACCTCTCACATGGTTGATGTTGGTCACACCCCAAGCATCCTAGGTGGTGAGATATAAACCTCCCACATGGTTGATGTTGGTCACACCCCAAGCATCCTAGGTGGTGAGATATAAACCTCTCACATGGTTGTCCGGTTCTTTTCCCCCGGACCGGGCATGGTCATGCAACACTTTATATAGGAAATTCCCATTAGGCTCTAATGCAATCTCACGTATGGAATGAACATATACACAAGCTTAGTTTGTCATCAACACATCTTTGGAGTTCCATACATCTCATAACTCAAGCTTTAAAGCATCAATTTATCAATTCTCCATAGTTGGACATTTTGTCAAACACCTTGAAGGCATGTAATGGAATCAAAGAGCATGGGAAATAGGGTAGTAATTATGCAGCCAAACCAATGAACAACCTACAACAACACCTTTTTAACACCCACAATACCACATGAAAATCTCCACATCCATTCCAAATTTAGGTTCAAGTTCTAGGGTCACAACATGCTCAAAACAATCACTTTTCATGTTTAAAATTCAATGTGTAGGAAATTATTACAAAGAACAAGACTAATATATGAATCTTAACTTAAACCATGAATTAGTGAGTAGAATAGAGTCTAGGCACTATGGGTGGAAGGACCCATGAGTTCAACACCACATACCTTGAGTTCTTATGAAGGTCTTGAGAGTGTCTTCAATGGAAGCTTGCAACTTGGAACAAGAGTCTCTTCAATCTTGAGGAAGGTTTTGGATTAGGGTTCTTGAGAGAACTTGAGAGAAAATGTGTCTAAGTATGGGAGAGGTGTTTTGGAAATGTTTTAGAGATGAAATTTGAACTAATGCTATATAGGAAATAACATATGCCCTTTGGAAGAAAAATTCGTCCAACACTTAGAAAAAAAAAGGGGGCGGGTGAACAGTAAAAAAGGCTACTGGAAATTGCATTCCCTGCCGGACAGACTTTACGAAAATGGGCATAACTTCTTCGTCCGAACTCCGAATGAAGTGAAACGAAGTGCGTTAGGTAGATAACTCAAAGGGCTTTCCATGGATATATTATTGGCCACCCAAATAATTTGTGTGCTAGGAGATATGACCCTCCAAAGTAGACCCTCGAAAAGGCTTCACTTGGAAATTTTGGATTTTGATACGGTTGCTCTAAAATTTGGGTTAGACCCATTCCCCACTCAATTTGACCCCCCTAAACAAGAATATGAAGTCGGATTTCCGAAATCATGCACGGATTTTGAGATATATGAAAATTACAATTATAGGTGTTTCCGAAGCACATTTTCGGGCATTTTTGGGGTCGTTTCAAACATAATACTCTTTTATTGAAAAATCATGAGGCCCGTCCCACGGGAACTGCTTCGTTACCGGAAGCAAATGAGGTTGAAGCACATGGCCAGTCTGAAAGAAGACAAAATAAAAATCAAGGCCAAAATAATGTGCGTGGACGTGGCAATGGCAGAGGACGATATAATAATCGTCGTCATGGTGGTCGCCACAAAAGGGAGAACAATATGGGTTCTCAAAGCAATCCTTCAAGAGGCAATTGTCATCGTTATGGCTTGAAAGGGCATTGGAAGAATGAATGCCGAGCAGCTGAGCATTTTGTTAGGCTTTATCAAGATTCCTTGAAAAGAAAAGGAAATAAAAATGGTGCATCTTCTTCTAATGCTCGGGTGGAGTCACACTTGACTTATAAAAATGATGCCGAGGCAGGGCCTTCACAAAAATATGATGACAATATTGAAGCAAATTTGGCTTTAAAAGATGATGATTTTGGTGACCTTGATGATATTACTCATTTGGAAGTTGAAGACTTCTTTGGAGATCAAAATTAATGTTTGATCATTTGATTAGGGAAAATAGTTATGTTGTTTTATTTATGTGTTTTTTATTGTTATGATTTTCCTTATGTTGTTTTTATATTCAGAAAAAAAGTACTTTTATTTTCTTGCAAAGTTGTTGATTTTTCATATTTCTTATGATGTACTTTTATTTTATGAAGATAAATAAAATTCCCCAATCTTCAATTGGTTCAAGATGAGTAATGTAGATATGTGTCTTTTTGATAGTGCTACAACTCACACTATTTTAAGAGAAAAGAAATATTTCTCTACTTTGATTGTGAAAAAGGCTTATGTTAATACAATATCTGGTAGTGCAAAATTAATTGAGGGCTCTGGAAGAGCGGCCTTACTACTACCTGGGGGAACGATATTAACTATTGAAAATGCATTGTACTGTAGTAAGACTCAAAGAAACTTATTAAGTTTCAAGGTTATTCGCCAAAATAGCTATCATGTTGAGACTGCCAATGAAGGAAAGGTTGAATACCTTTATATTACTACAATAAAATTGGGGCAAAAATATGTGCATGAAAAATTACCCGCATTTTCTTCTGGATTATACCATACAAGTATTAGTATGGTTGAATCACATGCCATAGTAAACAAAGGGCTTTCTAATTCTAATGATTTTATCATTTGTCATGACCGGTTGGGCCATCCCAGTTATAATATGATGCGCAAAATTATTGAGAATTCACGTGGGCATACTTTGAAGAATCAGAAAATTCTTCATTCAAAGAAATTCTCTTGTGCTGCTTGTTCTGAAGGAAAATTGGTTATTAAACCATCAGCAGCTAAGGCTGGGATTGAAACCCCTGCATTTTTGGAACGTATACATGGTGATATATGTGGGCCAATTCACCCTCCATGTGGGCCATTTAAATATTATATGGTCTTGATAGATGCATCTACAAGATGGTCACATGTGTGCTTATTATCAACTCGCAATATGGCTTTTGCGAGGTTGTTGGCTCAAATAATAAGATTAAGAGCACAATTTCCAAATTATGCAATAAAGACAATTCGTCTTGATAATGCTGGTGAGTTTACATCGCAGGCCTTTAATGATTATTGTTTGTCCACTGGAATAACAATTGAACATCCAGTTGCTCATGTTCACACTCAAAATGGTCTAGCGGAATCTTTGATTAAGCGTCTCCAATTGATAGCTAGACCATTGTTAATGAGGACAAAGTTGCCTGTTTCAATATGGGGACATGCTATTTTGCATGCAGCAACATTGGTGCGCATAAGACCAACTAGTTATCATGAATTATCTCCATTACAATTGGTTTTTGGTCATGAGCCAAATATTTCCCATCTTAGAATTTTTGGTTGCGCGGTATACGTTCCAATTGCCCCACCGCTACGCACAAAGATGGGTCCCCAAAGAAGGTTGGGAGTGTATGTTGGGTATGAATCTCCTTCTATTATCAAATATTTGGAACCTATGACAGGAGATATATTTACGGCAAGGTTTGTTGATTGTCATTTTGATGAATCAGTATACCCAACATTAGGGGGAGAACATAAACAGTTGGAAAAAGAGATAGATTGGAATTCATTATCTCTATCTCATTTGGATCCTCGAACAAATCAATGTGAGCAAGAGGTTAAAAAGATGATTTATTAGCAAAATGTTGCAAATCAATTGCCAGATGCATTTACTAACCTTCAAAGAGTTACTAAATCTTATATTCCAACTGCAAATGCTCCAGTTCGAGTTGATGTCTCGATAGGACAAATTGTTAAAGCAAATGAGTCTAGATCACGTTTAAAACGTGGTAGGCCAATTGGTTCAAAAGATAAAAATCCTCGAAAAAGAAAAGGAACAAATGATCATGAAGATCATACCATAGAGGAAATTGCTCAAGAAGAGCCCCGAGACATAGCAAATGATAAGACCACAAAGAAGGTCCAAATAACTGAAAATAATGAGAATGAAGAAATCTTAATAAGTTATGTCTCGACAAGAAAAATGTGAAATCGAAATAGTATTGTGGCGGACAATATTTTTGCTTATAATGTTGCTGTTGAAATAATGCAACATGGTGAGGATTTTGAACCAAAATCTATCAATGAATGTAGACAGAGAAATGATTGGCCAAAATGGAAGGAAGCAATTCAAGCGGAATTGACTTCACTTGAAAAACGTGAAGTTTTTGGACCAATAGTCCAAACACCTGAAGGTGTCAAGCCAATGGGGTACAAATGGGTTTTTGTGCTAAAACGAAATGAAAAAGGTGAAGTCGTCAGATATAAAGCACGACTTGTGGCACAAGGTTTTTCGCAAAGGCCTGGCATTGATTATGTGGAGACATATTCTCCAGTGGTGGATGCAATTACCTTCAGGTATCTAATAAATCTAGCAGTTCATGAAAAGCTTGAAATGCGTCTAATGGATGTTGTCACAGCCTATTTATATGGCTCATTGGACCATGATATTTTCATGAAAGTTCTTGAAACATACAATGTGCCTGACGCATATAAAAATTCGCAAGAAAATTGTTCGATAAGGCTTCAAAAATCCTTATATGGATTGAAACAATCAGGGCGAATGTGGTACAATCGTCTTAGCCAATTTTTGCTAAAGGAAGGGTACAGAACTGACCCTATTTGTCCTTGTGTTTTTATAAAAAGGTCTGGATTTGATTTTGTTATAATAGCTGTATATGTTGATGATTTAAATATCATTGGCAATCCTAAAGAGCTTGCAAAAGCCGTTGAGTGTTTAACAAAAGAATTTGAAATGAAAGATCTTGGTAAGACAAAATTTTGTCTTGGCCTACAGATTGAGCATTTGAAAAATGGAATATTTGTTCATCAATCAACATACACAAAAAAGGTTTTAAAGCGATTTTACATGGATAAATCACATCCATTGAGTATCCCGATGGTTGTGAGATCGCTTGACATACATAAAGATCCATTTTGACCTCAAGAAAATGATGAAGAGCTTTTTGGCAATAAAACTCCATATCTTAGTGCCATTGGGGCTCTTATGTATCTTGCTAATAATACTCGACCAGATATATGTTTTGCAGTAAGTTTATTGGCAAGATTCAGCTTGTCTCCAACAAAGAGACATTGGAATGGAGTCAAACATATATTAAGATATCTTCAAGGAACCATTGATATGGGATTATTTTATTCTAATAAATCCAAGTCAGAAATGATTGGTTATGCAGATGCTGGATATTTTTCTGATCCACATAAAGCTCGATCTCAGACAGGCTATTTATTTACATATGGAGGCACAGCTATATCTTGGCGTTCAATGAAGCAAACATTAGCTGCTACTTCTTCAAATCATGCCGAAATAATAGCCATCCATGAAGCGAGTCGGGAATGTGTTTGGTTGAGATCAATGACTCAACATATTCAAGAAATGTGTGGTTTTTCTATGGAAAAAGATATTCCAACTACATTATACGAAGACAATGCTGCATGTATAGCTCAACTGAAGGGAGGATATATTAAAGGAGATAGAACAAAACACATTTCACCAAAATTCTTTTTCACTCATGATCTTGAGAAAAAAGGTGAAATAAATGTTCAACAAATTCGCTCAGTTGATAATTTAGCGGATCTTTTCACTAAAGCATTACCAACCTCAACATTTGAAAAGTTGGTATTCAAGATTGTAATGCGTCGTCTCCAAGAAATTAAATGATGTTCGCAACAGGGGGAGTAAACTACACGCTGCACTCTTTTTCCCTTGACCTAGGTTTTATCCCAATGAGTTTTCCTGGCAAGGTTTTTAATGAGGTAGCAAACAAAGCGTATTACAAGATATGTGTACTCTTTTGTCCTTCACTAAGATTTTTTTTTCCACAGGGTTTTTTTTCTTAGTAAGGTTTTAACGAGGCATATTATCTATCAATGGTCATCCAAGGGGGAGTGTTGTAAATCATTTTGGTGGTTAAATGGATGACCATAACTCCTTGGTTAATTTCCCTCCTTTATGAGTAGTAATGTTGTTGATAATGTGGTCAAATGGATGACCATAACTCCTAGGTTAATTTCATCCTTTATTGGTAGTAATGTTGTTGATAATATGGTTAATTGGATGACCATAACTCCTAGGTTTATTTCCTCCTTAATGGGTAGTAATTCTCAAGGTTTAATGTAATGTTTATGACACCTTTTGGTATTCCTCAATGTAATCCTACAAATAGTGGTGTTGAGAATAATGTTGAATACACTTGAAAGAAAGAATGTTAGTTTATATTGTTCCTCTTGCCTTATAGTCTTCTTCTCTTCCTCTTTATATTGTTCTTTTGTCCTTAAGTTTTACAACACATTCGACAATTTTCATTTTTCAAATAATGCATTTTAGCCCCATTGCTTTTCCTTTCTTCTTCTCTTGTTAATTTCCAAATTCCTCTTCACCCCACTCGATTAAAGCTAATGTATCTGTTGTACATTTTGTTTTTCATTTCTTCAAATACCAATACATCTTCTACTACTAATCTACTAACATCCATGATTGGCAAGAGTCCATTTCTAAACATTTCTTGAGCTCCCATGTTGGAGAAATTCCTATGGGAGATGTTGAATTTATGAATAATATATCAAAACACTCGAAATATAGAGATGAGTTCATATTTAAATTTTTTGGATTACTTAGAAAAAATTTGAGTTGGCTGAAATTGAAAAAGAATAAGCTCGTTGAGGAAGTTGAATTACTGAAATGTATAAATATTATATAAATAATGTTTATAAATGTATATACATCTTTGATACATAGTTATACATTATATATATACACAACTATACACTATTGATATATTATATAATAATTTATACAATTGACAATATAACTATTTTTTTTTATTTTTCATTTGGTGTCCGCTCCGCTATCCGCATTAAAGTTCGACTAATCAGAATTTGAACCGAGTAAAACCCTATCCAGGAAAAATACTACCTACCATAATTTTTTTTTCCATATAAGGGCTCAAACCCGAGACATCGAACAACATATGAGTATT